GGCGAGGACATGCTGGAGGCCTGCCCGGTGCTCGGGGCACGGATCCTGCCCGGGAAAGCTCACCCCCACCCCTCCCGCCTTGAGGGCTGGTGGGGAATCCGGCCCCCTCGCCCTACCGTATGGTCCCCCGGAAGGTGGACTTCAGTGGCGTGGAGCCGACGTGGAGGATGTGCACCTTGGCAAAGCGGGAGTTAATGCTGCAAACCTAGGGAAAGGCGAATGGAATCGGTGCCAGATGGGGCCTGCTTGCACCCTGCTGTGGGCAGGGAAAGGGCAGGGGGCAGGCGGGACAGGACTGTATGCAGGCTCGCCCTACCGTATGGTCCCCCGGAAGGTGGACTTCAGTGGCGTGGAGCCGACGTGGAGGATGTGCACCTTGGCAAAGCGGGAGTTAATGCTGCAAACCTAGGGAAAGGCGAATGGAATCGGTGCCAGATGGGGCCTGCTTGCACCCTGCTGTGGGCAGGGAAAGGGCAGGGGGCAGGCGGGACAGGACTGTATGCAGGGAGCTCGCCTCTCGCTTGGCCGCCTCCTCCCCGCGGCCAAAGCAGCGGCGGGGGGGGGGGGCGCGAGCCAGGAGGGGAAGATGACACTCGTGCAACTCAAGACACACGAATACGGCCGAGACCTGCTGTGACCCTGGTCCCTCTCCTGCCATCAGGACCACAAGGAAACCAATCCCTGCTCTGTGCCACCCCAGGCACTGCCCTCCACCCCAGAACAAGTTCTGGAACGGAGAGCAAAGAAAAAACCTCCCCGCAGCCTTGGTGCAGGGCCAGCCGAGAGGCAGGTGTCCCCCATGCCGACGTCTGGCTTATTCGTGAGCAAGGGACCCAGCGGAGCTGCTGGGCTGCCTCTGCCCTGCTGGGAGCTGTGCAGAGGGCCCCTCAGCCCACCCCACGCAGAAAGGAAGGTCAGGACGGGGCAGAGAGCAGAGGCTGCCAGGGCTGCTGTCGCCCTACCTTGCAGGTCACCACGGTCCCCACGCTGGGCAGGAGCTGGGACTCGGTGTCTCTCACCACCGACACGACGGGCAGCTGCAGGGCAGCAGAGACGAGGGTGAGCTCGGGGCAGAGCCTTGCTCCCCAGCTGGGGAAGGGGC